CCTCCATAAATATTAATATAGCTACTGAGTACTTTTCTGGGCAAAAGAAACAACTCATGGGCAGGGCCAGTGTTTATCTTAGACCTAAGAGAAATGAAAAAATCAGTAACTGCAAAACTCTATGATGAAAATGGAAGCATCAAATGCCTGCCTTAGTCAAAAACACAGTCTCAATTTAAGTCAGTCAGAGAATACCAAATTTTGAACTGTGTTCAGATGAAATCTATAAGGCAAATAGTTAAATGTTTCCCTGAATTCCAAGCCACCAAATATTTTTATATCCACATCTATATAGAGATTAGATAGGGTAGATAGATAGATAAATGGCCAGCCCATAACATAGATATAACATGTTGGAGGATACGTATCTACAGTTATTCTTTGAAATAGTTAGGCATAAGCCATTCTCTCTTACAGTAATTACTTCTAGTTTACATTATTTACATTATTCACCCATAGAACAATGCTTTCTCTCTCTTTTAGCAATGTGGGAGCACAAGCATTCAGTTCAACTAAAACAAATATCAGGTTTAAAGGACAATTTGGAAAATGGTAGAAAACAGAGGGAGGATAATGTAATTTTTTACTAACCTGCTAGGAATTATTTTTTGATATGAGAAGATAATGCAATCATATGTCATTAATAACTATAATCTTAGGCAAGTTACTTACCTGCTCTTTTTCTCAATATTCTCACCTGTTCAGTGAAAACAACAATAGCACTTCCAAGTTTTGTTGACAAAAATGAGATACTGCACATGATAGGCCTAGAATAGTATTCAGCATGTAATAAGTGCTCAACCAAGCATAACTAATATTCATCAGAAAGCAAAAAGTTTGTATTTTGGTCTTAAGGCTTATATCCAGTTCTTGCTAATACCATTAAAGTAAAATAAAAGCTAAGTAAAAAACTGCAAAAATGTTATGTTGTACTAGCAAATCTATCCATTATCTGCTGGGTAGCATAAAGCACCCTGATGGATTTGCCGGGCCTACAATCTGCTCCTAACATAGAATCCAGCTGATCCTGGGTATTCTAAATGATCAGAAATCACCTAAGTCAGCAGTCTGGAGTACTGTTACTGCACAAGATCTTCAAAACCAGAAATTCTTCCACAATGCTTTCCTATCACCAGGGAGGATATGAATATTCTATCACCAGTAGAAATCAACAAAGCTCTATTGAGATACTGACTCCGGGGGAGGGTGCCTGGGCTCACTGCTAGCGAAATCACTGGATTCATAAATGCAAACCTTGCAGCAGCATAAGTCAAATTTGGTTTTTGGGAAAAAAAAAATACATTATTGCATATTGTATTAGTTTTCTTTTTTTTTTTTTTAAAGATTTTATTTATTTATTTGACAGACAGAGATCACAAGTGGGCCAAGGGGGCAGGCAGAGAGAGAGGAGGAAGCAGGCTCCCCGCTGAGCAGAGAGCCTGATGCAGGGCTCCATCCCAGGACCCTGGGATCATGACCTGAGCTGAAGGCAGAGGCTTAACCCACTGAGCCACCCAGGCGCCCTAGTTTTCTATAGCGGCATGACAAATTGTCGTACATTTAGCAGCTTAAAACTAGACTCATTTTTAATTGACAGTGTCTGTGGGTCCAGGGATGGCCTGACTGAGTTCTCTGCTCAGAGTCTCACAAGGCCAAAATCAAGGTTAATGGCCAGGGCTGTAATCTCATATGGAGCTTTGAGTTCCCGGTATCTACAGTGCTGTGGCTTCCATATACTCACTGGCTGTCAGCTTCTCTCAAAATTTAGAGACTTCCTGCATTCCTTGTTATGTGGACCCATCCATTTTTATTTTTATTTTTATTTTTAAGTTATTTTTATTTTAATTTATTTTTAAAATTTCTTTTCAGTGTCACAGAATCCATTGTTTATGCACCACACCCATTGCTCCATGCAATACGTGCCCTCCATAATACCCACAACCAGGCTCACGCAACCTCCCACTCCCCTCCCCTCCAAAACCCTCAAAGCCAACAACAGATCATTTCCCTTGCCTTAAATTTCTCTCATGCTTCATAATTTGTCCCTGACCTCAAGACACTGTTTTAAAGGGAGCAGAAGTATAGGTCAAGACAACCAAGATAATTTCCCTTTTAAAATTTCAGGTGTGCCATATAATATAACCTAATTATAGAAGTGATATCCCAATATATCGATGATGTTAAGAATTATAGAGGCCATGAAAAGACCAGTGGATGGGTCATTTAGGGGAGATCTTAGAATTATACTTAGTTCATAGTCATACACACACACACACACACACACACGCACACATACGTAGAGCTTAAGGATTAATCATTCAAATTCTAGAGGGTCTACTATATTGGCTTATGATGCCAGGTCTTACAATTTGGAAGAAAGAAACTGGCATATGTTTCAGAAGCAATATTTAGTTATTCTATAAATTTGCAATTTTAAAATACAAGGTTACCTTTTCTATAGATGATAAATAAGTTCTAGGCTAAGATAGGCAGACCCACACTTGGCATTAAGGACAAAAACTAAAGAACCTGATCCCACCACTCTCCATGTGCTTTGTTTACCATGAATTTTTTCATCAACTGATCCCTAGATGGTTGTGTTACCAGCGTTCATACAAAGAATATCACATAGGATCAAGAGCATATAAAACAACTGGTCTTAATTTATAAAGATGAGACAAATAAGGTTATGGGGAGTTGCCAGAATCTGAACGTCCAAGACTAAATTGAAGAAACTTCTATCATGAGTAACTGTATTCTAGAATCCACTCACCTGACTAGGTCTATTGGCTTTATTTCACATCTTTCTATAACGAATTGCATATTCTTTTTTTGTAAAGCAGTTTACATGAATGATTTGTTAAGATCTGAGCTGATGTTCCAATTTTGTTCTTCATCTCATTTTATGTATTATCTTGTTTTTGTTTGTTTCTGTATTTCTTTTTATTGTTTCATAGGCAGTGGATGAGTGGGTTGGCTGATTGACTTTTGGTACTGGATCAACTGGGTAAAGTTAAAAAATATGCATAGTTTGCTTTCACATGTATTATGTTTTCATTATAGAACAGGTATATGTATAAGTATACATGTATATCATGTGTCTATAAACTGGTTTTCTGATGATGACTCCTCACAACAGATGATTAAATCAAGGATGACTTACCTATTTCCATCAGCAACAAGAAATTATTTAGTAGCTCTCTGGAGCCCTCAGTTGTTAAGGATGCTGAGTTTGCCTAGGCTAGTATGAAAATTAAGGATGTTTGAATGAGGTAAGGGGATACAATGCCACATATTTGGTGCCTTACAAAAAGGGTTGCTCTTTCAGAATAAGCAAACACTGAGGAAGGGTTGTGTACTAAATCATCTTTATATCGATTAAATTTTTTAGCTTAAATTTCTTCATGTCAGAAGGAACTTCAGAATCTCTGAGAATATGCAGTTAAAAGGGGTTCTGACAGCAAGGGATGGCTTTAAAGAAGTCTGCAGATAAAGCTCCTCTCCTTCAAGATATTGTCTAGGGCAGCCTTGAGCTCTCCCTAGAGTCTTCTCCCCAGGCCTGTTAAAAACAGAGGATTTACTTTTGGTACTCACCAAAGCTCTTGATCCCATAAAATATCTTTTGGAGGCATGACAAGTAAATTTAAACTACAATATTTAGTTCAGTAGATAATGGCACATACATATGCAGTCTTTCTTTTTTTTTATTAATATTTATGGCAGATGAGTTAAGCACTGAAAAACCTTCTCCTTATACTCTCCACTGATGATTAGATTGGAGATGCAGAGACCACGTACAGCAAGACTGGTGTTAATGACCATAACTCCACAGAAAATGCTTTTAACATAACCGAAGACATATAGCAAACTGAATCAAACAGTGAATACGGACTTGGAAAATAAAGTCACAATTTTGCAGAAGAAAAATGGTCTTCTGATAACCTAAAACTTTACTGAAATGAGGGAAAGAGAAAGAGGGAGAAAGAGAATAGAAGGAGAAAGAGAAGGAGGGGGGATGGGGAGTGGGGGGAGATGGAAGCCAAAAGAGAGGGAGATGGAAAGGAAAAGGGAGTTGTGGAGAAGATGTGAAAACTATTGTATTGTGCAAATTTGATTCTTGAATTTCATCAGGCAACATAAACAATAATGAGAGCATTTATCTCTTAAGAAAGATATAGCTCAGTACCATTAAATACATGCTTTTGTCTAAATATTTTATTTTCCTAGTTATCAAAAGTAACTATTCTAAGAAGATTTACACTTGAGTGACTGGCCAAAATGTTATGATCCTGTAGGTGATGTAATTTCCCTTTTGGTTGATTTCTTCTTAATTAGTTTTTGTCAATGTTGTACATTAATTACACTCCAACATTTCAAGGTCTGTTTGTTTTCTGATTCAGAAAAATTAGTCTGTATCCTTTAGTTATGTAAAAAGTCTAACATTTAATTAGAAACATGTCATATCAGATTTATGTAAAAGGCTGTAACCTTGCCAATGCCTACATTACTGCTGAGAGATAATCAGTCATTTTGGAAAGCACAGTCACTCTTGGAATGCAGTGTAGCTCCAAATCATTGTCCGTTCTTTGCATTATTTTAATTTTCTTCCAACTTATTTTAACCTCACATCTTTTCCCTTTGCCCCAAACTTTCCCAGCTTCCTCATCATTGCATGTGTATTATTTCCACTCTTCCTTACCGACTCCTTTTTCCTTCTATTTTCTCTTGTCCTAACATGATAGAAACTCTTTTTCATTGTCGTTGCTTTAATTTTGTGAGAAGATATAAAGGAAATGAAGTGAACTGTGAGAAAGCACAAGTGTGTCCCTATGTTAGTCTCCAGCAGACTGAACACATTTCAAAGGAAAGGTTCATATGAAATTATTAAGAGAGAACATATCTGTTGATACATAACCAAGAATCTCTTTGAAAGGAACGCATCTCAGTAATTCCCCATACTCATGCTTCTAGAAGTCTCAAGAATGAGAGGAATCCATTACCTCAGCTTGACCAATAGGTATGTTTTCATAGTTGTATAAATTATCCAGGTCCTCCAAGATAGTGTCATATGTTTCTGAGTCATAGTTGATGGGTTCCAGAGTTGGAGCGGTCCCAGCAGCATCAAAGATGACAAGTCCCAGAATGAGTCTTGCCAACATTTTCATTTTTCAAGCTTTCCTAATCAAAAAAGGCCAAAAGGTATAAATATTTAATTGATGATAACTTATGAATACTTTTCACTAAATAGGCATGATAAATCAAAGTCAATGCCGTGGGACTCAAGCCGGTAGCTCTCCTGACACGGATCATTTGTAAACATAACACAGGAAATTGTATGGATTCTGAAGACTATTGATACTGATGTTCAAATTAATCACAAACCCATCCACGTTTTTACAGTAGATAGTGTAATTACAGTGAAATTGAGTTTACTTCATAGAGAAACACGGAGAAAATGGGATGTGGAAATATTGCCGTGCACTTATTCAGAAAAGCTTTTGCATCAGAGTTTTACCTTTTACTAAGCATTAAGTTTCTTTCATCAACTCTGGGAGTAGGAAGGAGGAAGAGGAGGATAAAGAAGAGGAGGAGGACTATAACTGTTACTCCATTTTACAGAAGAGGAAACCAAAACAGGGTTGGCTAGTGACCTAACTAGGACTCGTAACTGTTTCTTACACATTCAAGCTTATGGATTTTTCCAGACAAAATAATGAAAGAGTCCCCCCCAGCTTTTACTGCCTTGTTGCCTCTGGGTATCATTAATGTATACATACATAATTTAATATATGTACACATTAACATTTCATGCAATACTTTTCAAAAGTTATTCTTAACTAAATGGAGCAGAAAAGGAAACTATTTTTCCTTTAGTCCTTAGTGTTTTCTTTCAATTCTTAATAGCCATCTAAGCTTTAAACTCAGAATCAATAAGAATCCATGTCTAAAAGATATCATTTGGCAAGATTTCCTTAGAGGAAGATTTCCATACACATAAGATTAAAAAGTCTCTTGTTTTGTAATTCTTTGTTAAGCATGATTTGTATTTTCCATGATCACATCCTGCTTTTGGGGAGGATTCATTCAAAATCTTATTATTTTAATTATATTTATAATATATGTAGTATATGTTATACATGTATATATGTATGTATAATAGATGTTTAACATTTATAATTTTAATTATTTTTGTTCTGTATATACTCTTTTGAATACATTTTACTTTAGAAAAAAATCTTTCCTATTTAATTTTAAACATCTAAGTTGGGTCTATCAAAAATGTTACTTGGTGGTCATTTATTGAGGAAGCAAAGCCTTTGTAGAACTTTTTATCAAGTATGTCTAATTTTAAAGGTTTTGTATTTTGGATACACTTCTTAAGTCTACTTCAAGAACAGAACTTCTGCTGTTTGCACCTATGCACACACGTAAAAGGGAATTCATGATAAATATTACTTTTAAACTTGAAAGCACTGACAGACAAACCGACCTTCAGTTACTTGAAAGAAAGTCTTTATGAAGCAGGTTTAGGCAGAGGGATATGAAATCCCTCTGAGAATGAGAAGCAGGACAAGGAGCTCCTTTTTATTCCCTCCTATGCTTTCTTCGAATCATTTTTTTTATTCACACTGGATAAACGAAGCCTCTATTTTACCTGCATTTGCAAGGCTCTTTGCAGGATTGGGGATTTGGAACTGCTGGACGCAGTCACCAACAAAGTCCTGTTTAATCAAATGGTGTGATTTACAAATCTTTCAGGAACCATTCTTCGCTTTTCAAGTGGGAGGCATTCAGAGGGACCAGTACTAACCTCGAAAGAGTATTTTCCTTCTCCATTTCTGGCCACTGTAATTGTTCAGAGCAATTAGGCACTGGCTGGTTATTTTTCTCACTTCATACTCTGATTAGAAGTGTCTACGTTCTTCGAGTTTACTTGCATGGTGCATAACACCTAGAGCTATCAGCAGTAGGAAAGTCTGTGCAAAGCCTGGAACTACGAAGAACACCTCTCTATGTTCAGTTTTAAAAGGATGTTTCTTCCTTCAAGTAACTATACTAGTATTTAACGTAGTGTCTTTGTTGAGACTGAATTTGTTGTGCACTTCACACCATGTTATGAGATTTTACAAATTATGCTTATATAAAACCTTAAAATATAGACCTTAAAAAGACACTCCAAATGCCTAATTCCCATATGCTCATCAGTATATATTTAAACACCTGAAATCTCCCCCCTTTTCTTCTTTTGACTAATATGTCAATCAATACTGATCAATAGTGCCTGGTTATCCTGGCAAGAAACATGATCTATGTCAGGGCACTTGCTTTAAGGAACATATTGGAAACTACTGTAATTTTATTGGCATCTCTCCTATTAAGATCAACTATTTTACTGTCAGCTATTAATTCCTGAGCTAATTCAAAATTTTGGATTTTCCAAGAATAACATGAATAGAAAATAGCAAACTTAAACCCAATCCATTGCATCAATGTTCACCATGAGATATTAAAGCAAACTGAATTATTTTTTAAAAGGTTATTATAGTAGAAAAAAAAAGTCTCTGACCCAAGAAGAAAGCAAGTGTAAAAACTTACCTTTGGCTCCTACTTGGTGAAATGGCACGGAGTGACTGGAGACGCAGAGCTGGTAGTATTTGCCCTTGACCAATGGTTGTGAATTCTGGTCTGTGGGAGGTGGAATTTATAACACTCAATTTTCTGTTTGGGAAAGCTAACCTTGAGAAATGCTTCTCAGTCTTTAGAAACCCCAAATTACTTTAGAGTCCCTCAAAATAATCAGTAGAATCCAAATGATACAGCGTACAGAGCTCTTGAAATTATGTTAAGGGAGTTATCATTGCCAATGTGTCCCCCTAAACATTTTAAATGGAAAAAGTAGCTTTTACTATATTTCATCTGTAACAAGTTCACCAGTTAAGAAAAAGTTAATGTATACAGTAATACTATAGGTGAGTATTTTAGAATTGTTCTAATAAGAAATAATTTTCCTTGCATGTCTTAAATGGCTTTCTTCCCTTTTCATTAATGTTAACTGAAATTCAGTAAATGTTGCAAAAGTCTTACCTGTTTAATGTTGGGTAAGTTAAAAAAAATCCAAATTATTTTGATTGTTTGGAATGCTCTGAGAGCAATGAAACAATAAAGCCTCTGCATGCCCACTAAAAAAAAAAAATCCTGGAGCAATGCATAAATATGATCTGAGCATTTTGGAAAAAAAAAAAAAAGGCTCCTTTTTTCTCTCTTTTATCTATCAGAGCCAAACAAATCAAATTACATAAAAACACTTTCCCCCAGCATACAAGATTTGTTGTAGGCTCCTGGTATCTGATATGGTTTGTGAAACTCAGCTTTATTACAGGTTTGGAGAGAAAATATGTTTGTATTAAACTCATATTCTTTGCCTCCATTCACACTGCAAAAGTTCTAGAGGAAGATGAAACTTGTGTCATGTATTCTGGCTTCTGGTGTGCTTTCCATAAATCCAGGAGTCTGGTTCTAACCTGTGCATCAGGATTCCTTTTTCCTTGAACAGAAGTGAATAGCCATATTAGATTTTGAAAGTGCATTAGGGCACACTGATGGAGGAGAAACTCTGTCTTGAGGACGCTAATGCCTCCTTCTGCCTTCCCTGCCGTCTTTCCTCCCCACCCCAAACTCCTTTGCTTATGGATTCAGGGCTCCCTCAGCCCTTAGTCTCATCACCCACACCTGCTTCTGCACTTCTATGTGATTTGAGCTCAGCGTGCATTATTTTTCTTGGGACCAGTTTTATTTGTAATGGAAGCAGTGATTCTGGGTGAAATACAGAATCTGTCAAGCCCTCTCCGACAGCAGAGAAGCCATCCTGGGGGGTAGGGACGTCCTCCCTGCCTCTTTGCTGTGTCACATGATATGGATGCTACTTTCAGAAGCACTTCTGGAAAGAGGACTGAATCCGAGTTTCCACCCTGGCGCTGTCACAGCAATGCCCCCCACTGTGTGTTAGAGGAGTTTATATATGTCTCTCAACACATTCTCCATCAGAGAAGTTCCCCATTCACAGATGGGCGACACTCAAACATTAAGTTATCCAGTGTCACATGTGACACAAACAAAGAGAAAACCAAATTGGGTCAAGTTCCCAGATGTTAGTGAGGTCATCTGAGGGATGCCGGTGACGGTAGAAATGCAGTGGCATCTCTCAGTTTTTTAGATTCTGAGGCTGTTTGCCTGTCACTAGGTGTTAGGGTCTTTTAAGTGCTTTAGGATAAATAGAGATGGATAGGATATCCATGAAAATACCTAATATTTCTTCTTCTTCCTCCATGATTTAATCTACTACTCTGCACACATTGTCAGGTGACAAAGGTGGCATCTATGTAGTCCCTTCTATTCTCGAAGGCTCTGGCTGAACCTGTAAGATTCTATTTGCGGAAATAACGTTTTCACACTCTCCTTTAGTGACCTGTTGGTTTACATGACACTGTTTTTAGGCTTCAGAACGTTGTCTACTAATGCAGTCGTTTCATGACAATTTAATAACTAAATTCTTTGTCCTAATACAGAATTGAAAGCAGAAATGATCACTCCTGAGTCTTTTTCCAAATAGATGAAACTTTCACTGTTCCTTATAAAATATGGAGAATTTTTAAGTCATTTCTCTTGGTCTTTCTTATCTGGACTCTCTCCAATATTTTCAAAATCTAGGTTGAACTGTGGGAGCTCAAATTTGTAACAATCTCATGAGGACCTAATTGCTATATAGTAGGGAGAAGGATTAATTACCGGGTCCAGCCTCTCTTATCCTTGGTAAATATCTTTTAGTTTCTTGATAATTTTCTTAATAGAGCCTGAGCTTGGTTATCCGAAACCCTCAGGGGATCAGTTACTAAGACTAGTTGCATTATCTAGTAATTGAGGCTTTCTGGTTTTATCTCTTTAAGCCCCCAAATGGTTTACAAATCTTTATGGCTACAATTCTTAACAAAATTGGTTAAACATCATCCTGCTTGCCTAAATGGAATTAATTTTAAACGAGATGGTCTTCTCTCAGTGATGATCTTTGTTCTGTAGAGAACAGAGAGGAGCCCTCTGACGATCACATATGGCAGTCCTTCCTTGTCCTTTGCCCTAAAAGGCCACATTGGTAAGAGCGACAGGAGGG